CATCTACATGTGAACAGCAGTGGGGATCAGGGGATCATGAGGACATTCATCTTCTCTGGGAGGTCCCTGAATTACCAGGTTATTGTGACAAAAACAGACTTGCCATGGTTGCTGGGATAGCAGCCTTAGCTACCCCGTGTGGGTGAGGGTTCCAGCAAAGCAAAGACAATCTACCTTGGTCTAATTCTCACTTTGGGTATTGGGCACCTTCCTAAATCTTGGGTTCAGTTCCAGCTGTCAAGGCTCTTAGTAGGGGGAGCTTCTGCTCCCTAAATTCCACCCTTGGAGTGAGACATTCTAAAAGGAGTTCCAGAAACCTTCTCTGACCTGGGCTGCAGGACAACACTCCTGCTTCTTAAAGTCCACAGTGGGCTTGGCTGATGTCTGAGACCTTGAGGAGATGCCCATCTCTCCTTCCCCAACAGAGAAGTGGATAAACCTGAAGCTCAAGGCTCACTCAAGGCACAATGTGAAGGGGGCCTGTCAGTCCCCAGACTTCTGATAAACCTTCTGCCTTCACCCTAAGAGTCAGGGTCCTTTGGGGAAAAGGCACTTTTTCACAAGTATTTCTCATTACGTTGATGCAGACAGGTTGGACCATGAGCTCCTTCTTGCCCTCCACTGAGTTTCCCCTCCCTTCTGCTTCCTTCCTCCCTGCTGGCCTCCTCTCCCCTCCCAGCCTCACCTCTCCTTCTCTCTTTCTCCCTCCCCTCTCTCCTCTCCCTCTTCCCCTCTCCTCCCCTCCCATCCCCCGCCCCTTCCAGGGCCCATTGTTCCTGTGTCCTTGCACAGGGCCTGAGACTGGCGTCCAATTGAAAGGTCCCTGCTCTTCCTTCCCAGGCTTTGCTGCCTTCCCATGGCTTGACCCTGGGTAAGGGGCTTTCTGGCTTCTTCCAGTCAGGGGCACCAATGGGAGCCAATGCTGTGGCCACCATCACTTTAAGGGAGGCGACAGGGTGAAAGGGAAATCCGCTGGTCCAGATGAAGGGCTTTCCTAGAGGTGCAGGAAGGAGAAAGCATCTTTCTGAAACATTGGTAGAGAAGACAGTACTGGGCCGGGCAGGGGAGGAAGGGAAAAGTGAGGACTAACTACCTCTGCCTCCATTGTGCCAGCCCCTGCAGCCTGGATACCCGCACCCCACTAGAGAGGTTGCCCCCCAGCACCCAGGCGCGGAGGACACCATATGGTCAGTTAGATGTCTGTAGGAGGGGCCAGGCTCAGGTCTCCTTAGTCTGGTATTATCTGTGTTAGGAGACAGTTTGCCAGTTCCAACAGGTGACCGGTGGGAAGGAACTGAGCACTGAGAGATTTGCTGCCTCTTTCCCTCAGTTATTCTCTGTATTGGGGGTGGGGTGGGGAGAGAAATGGAGACAGAATATATAGAGAGACAGACAGCAAGAGAGAGGTAGAGGCAGAGACAGGTTGGAGGAAGAGAGAGGGGGAGGGAGAGAGACCAACGGGCTGTTTGCAGCTGCGCCCCGCAGGCAGGCTTGCCCAGGGTAAAGTAGGTGGCATAAATCGCGTGCACAGTCTCTGCAGATCACCACTTTAAATCTTAATTGGTTGCCTTTTAAATATCACTTAAGGGCCTGCTTCCCTGCCTCTCTCTCTCTCTCTCTAGTTAAGAAGGTGTCGTGTCAAACTCTATTACCTTGCTGGACGTCTCTTCCTTAAGTTAAAAAAAAAGGAAAGGAAGAAAAAAGAAAAAAATGGAACCATCAGCAGCGGTTTGAGGGTCGATAAAGCTTTTAGATTTGGAGAAGGTTTCTGGGAGCCCATTTCCTGCGGCTAAGAGTTGTTAATGGAGCTTAAGGAATTATCTTAGACCCGCGCCCGCGCCGTATATTTCCCGCGCCTGTTCCCCTGTCGGCTCCGGATCTGCTGCTGTCAGACTCGCTTAATGAAAAGTAACGCGCCGCTGATTGCAGTTTTATTTGGGCTCTATGTAAAGAGCGCCGTTAATTTAGCACCCTCCTCGGTGTGTTTGAATTCGCCACGCCTGACTGGCTGAGCGTCGGTCCCCAGCTCCTTTCCTGACAGACGCCCAGGGAGTGAAGTGGGGCCTCGCCCAGGGACAGCGACCTTTCCCCGAAGCGTCAGCTCCTATTCACTGCCGCCCCCGCCCTACCCGGCAACCTTTCTCTCCTGACCCCCACCCCCACCCCACGAAGATGGGCCAGAGGGCAGGTAAGGTGCACAAAGCGACTGTGCCCCCAAAGATCTCGGTGTGGGGCGAAGTGACAGCCCCAGCTTTGGGTATCCTTTTGGGCGAGTTGTCCTGGCATGCGGCTGAATCCCAACTCCCCACTCGATGTCTCTATTTCACACAAAATTTCTATTTCATCAAATAAACCACTTTGGTCTGTCAGTTCCACTGAGAACTGGGGAATCGTCCTGGCCTGGGTCTCGGGAACAGACGGGGTTCTGAGCCACCACGGTACTGGAGCCTGAGGTCCTGGGGCCACAGACCTAGGCGAGAGAGGGAAAGGATGGGAATCAGAACCTCGTGGCCGCCACGCTCACCGACCGGCGTCACGACCTGCCCGCAGTCCGTCTACCCCCAAAGCGAGCAGCCCACAACCCGGGCCAAGCTGGTCCAGCCAGAGATGTCCGCATCCGCATCCGCATCCACAGCCTGGGTCCCGCCTCACGGCGCCGCCCGTGTCCTCAAAGCCTTGTTTTCGCTGAAAATGCCTGGCTTTGTCTCAGGCTGGAGTGGGGGCGCTTGGGTAGCCGCATTAAAATTCCTGGCGCCCCAGCCTCGGCCGCAGCGTCTCCCCTGAGACTCCACTTCCGCTATTACTGTCAAGTACCCTTGACTCTTTATTTTTGCCCTTTTATCTATTACAACTAATTCGAGTTCTTTTGCCCTTTTCAGTTTAAGACGTGGCTTTCTGCAAAGCCTCCCCCTGCCAGCGGGCTCTCAGAGCGCCGAGCCTTTAGAAATTGAGGGGTTTACTGTCAAAATGAAAATTTCACTTCAAATTATCTTGGCTGATGCTCGCTCGCCAGGCCGGGGGCTCCCGCCGCAGCCTTTTGACAGGCACATCAGCGGCGAGCTTCCGAATCTCGATAATATCATCCAAGAGAGCGAAAGTCAATACGGTGACAGCGCGCGGGCGGATACAATCCAATTACCGAGCGCAGCCGGGGCAGCCTCAGAGCGGACCCGGTCCTTACACAGTGTACCGGGACTGCTCCACTCCACTCAAGGTCTGGGCTTCGAGGTCCCACCATTCAGAGTTGGGAGTCTGAACGATGTCTGGCCATCAGGGTCTCGCAACTCAAGGGTACCCCGGGCGACGAGTTTCTGGCCGCGCGGTTCCCTCTCTCCTGTGTGTAAACTCTCCCCAAAGCCGGGTCCCACCGGCCAATCAAGCCAGCTTTTGAGCGCTCCAGGCCCCGACCCCACAGGGCCCGGTCCGGTCCTACCCAACCCCTTGCAGAAGAAAGCCCAGGCCTCCCGTGTCCCTCGAAAGCTGCCTGCCTGTCGAAGAGAGGACCCATGTCTTCAGCTGGTGTCTCCCCATCTGTCAATCTGTCCTGTCCTGGGCAAGGGCTGTCATCCCCTCTCACTGCGCCTAAGAGCCTCTCCACCTTTGCTGGCTCACTGGCTTGCGTATCAGTCCTCGGGACACCTGGGACTTGTGGAATGAAGCTCAGTAGGGCCTTAAGCCGAGGGCTTTTGGGCGAGGGGCCAGCCCCAAGTCCAGTGCGCACCGCTCTCAAACACCGCTCTCTAGGGGCCCTGGCTCTGGGCCAGACACCTGCGGGGTTGGGGAACCTGGTTTCCGAGGAAAGCCAGGGGTCTGCACCTCAAAGGAAACTTGCTGAGGTGGGGTTAGGCCTGCATCCTCCCACCCCAAATGGCTCCTCGGGTTTTGTCCCTAATTCCTACTTAGCCCAGCTTTGGGTCTTCTGTCTATACTTCGTCTCCCCGCTCCGGAGCAGCAGCTCACAGTGGGGGATCTTTGCCAGCTAGGCTCGGGTCCCGGGAGGAAGGGGAGGTGGGATTAGGAGGCAGATGGGGCCCTGGAAGGGCCAGCTTCAGCAGAAAGGTCTAATGGCTGTGATGTCCCTGACCCCTACCCCAAACCAGGGCACAGTCCTAGGGAATTTAGAAAGTTTAAAAGTTATTCAAATTAACCTAGCCAAATAAACTCCCATTGACTCAAAATTCTAGAGTGTGGTAACACGAGAGAGTTTAAAAGTTTTGGTTCTCTATCCACTTTATCCACTTCGATTCAAGACGATTCAACAGAATCCTGAAGTTTACTTTTTGTTTGTTTTAAATAGCTTTACCAAACTGTCTTATGCTCAGCAAGCAACTTCCTGGGTACTCTGGGACAGTACCCTACCCCATTTCTCCCCGTGGTGATCAGCACCTTTCCTCCAACAAGTTATCAAATTCCTACCTTGGCAATGTGTTCATTTTGCAATGCAAACATCATCACTTGGTTTTATTGGTTTTGTTATAACAGCCTCTGAAGCAGGCAATTACTGGTGTGAACATACATTTAAAAAACATAATTCTATCGAGTAAAGAGTGTGCAATAGTGTAAATTCAGGGAAGTGTTTTGGGTGAGAATTATGTGCTGAGGATAAAATCAGGTCAACAGGCTGAGGGATCCTCAGAAAGAACACGGGCATGCCTCACACCCAGAAGACAGCTACACAAACAAGCCTGGGAACCAAGACGTCTTCTCCATGTAAACTTTGGACGTAAACTTTATGCTTCAGGGCGGCTGCCTTCTGTTTTGGGTGCAGCCCGATCCCACCGGTCCCTGAGCTTGGGGATGGCCAGGGTGGTCCACCGCTCTAGGGGTTTGTCCGTGGTTCCAGGAGATCGAGTTCGGATACTCCCTCCAGGGTGGGTGGGCGGCCTGAGCTTCGCTGCACTCTCGCCTAGCTTTGGAAACTTGTTTAGAAAAAGAGTCATTGACTTGCAAGCTTGCAGTCTGAGCACCGGCTCCCTCCTGGGCCTAGTAGTCCTACGGAGTTAAGCGCAGAAGGGCTTCCCGCCGGTTTTGGGCAGAGCCAGCAGCTCCTTCGGGGCGCCAGCAGCAGGGGCCTCTTGGGGCGCGGCGGGAGGGAAGGTGCGCGCCAGGGGTGACGTCAGCACGTTGGCGCCAGCCCCTAGCGACCGGCCCAGCGGTCCCGGGTCCAGGAGGGCACCCTTGGCGGTGGCCCAGGCCTGGTTCAAAGTGCTGTGCCTGAGGATGGGGTCGTGGAAGACTCCATCCACCCAGTTTCTGAGACTAGTTACCGGGGAGTCCTGGTGCCTGTCCAGGGCACCGGCGGGGGCGGGGGCCGCAGGTGAGGACGAGGGGGGCGCCAATGAGATGGCTGCAGGGGCGGCAGGGCCTTGGCGCTTGAGCATGCATGAAGGAAACTCAGTCTGGCTCAGGTTGGTCGCGGCGGCTGCGGTAGCCGTGTGCGCCAGGGACCAGATGCGCGGCTTGACCTCGAGGCCTGCAGTCGCGCCAGCCGACGCAAAGCCCAGCTTGGCCTCGCAGACCTGCGGGCCGCCCCCAGCACCTGGCTGCTGCTCCGGCCCTGTCACCACGCTCCGGAGGCAGCTCCGGGCCCTCTCCAGGTCCTGGTCCAGGGCGGACCCGCCATCTGTGGCCAGGGGCATCCGGTGGGCGCCAGAGGCCTCTTTTCCAGGGGCACTGGGGCGGTCAGGCGCGGCCGGGATGCGTTCTAGGCCACCGTCCAGGGGCTGGAAGGGAGGTTTCAACTCGCACTCCGGGGGCTCTGCCTCCAGCGGGTCGAAGTCCTCCAAGTCGCTGAGCTCAAGATCCTTCTCCTCTTTGCCAATGGGCTCTGCCCAGGAGAGAAAGAGTAGCCAGTGAAGGGAGAGGGGATGGTGGGTTAACTAGACCACCATTTCCTTCGCCTTCCTAATTCTGTCCATGGTTATAGGGCCTGGCCCTGGAGCTAGGAAAAACAACTGTGCCTTACTTCCTACCTCTCATCTCCTTTAGAGGCTCCCAGACCCCAAACTGGCAACACCTGTGAGTGGATTTCAGCCTCAACTCAACGGTGGAGGGGTGTCTAATGTTTTAAACATAATGTTGGATTTCTTTAAACATGCTATCCCCCCCCCACACACACACACACGGCTCTGCTTGGGTCAGTTCATGCATTTGCTCCTCAAAGGTTCAATGCCTTTGGCTGTCCTAGAACTCACAGAGAAGGCCCAGGGAGTCCTGGCCTTGAACCCCAGCCCAAGCATCACCAACTGCTACCCACCTTCATTCTTGGTGCTCTTGAGGGGCTCCTCCCGGGCATCCTCTTCTCCACCCTCTTCCTCGTCACCCTCCCCATAGGGCCGCTTCTCATCTGCACACTTGTTCCTTGGTGGCCAAGTCATCTTGTTCTCCTTCTTGAGGCGTCGGCGGGCGTTGGCGAACCAGGTGGAGACCTGCGTAAGGGTCATCTTGGTGATGATGGCCAGCATGATCTTCTCGCCCTTGGTGGGGTAGGGGTTCTTGCGATGCTCCTGCAGCCAGGCCTTGAGCGTGCTGGTGGTCTCACGCGTGGCGTTCTTGCGCCGCGTGCCGCTGTCCATGGTGCCGTACCTGGAGACAGGCGGGGCAATGGAGCTCCATGGCAAGGCCCACGCAGGCTTTCAGTCCCCTTAGTGGGGGGTTATGGGGGTAAGACCACCCAGGTCCTGGCCTGTGCTGCTGCCCCCTGGGGCTGCTGGTTTTGGCCCAAGGGCAAAGAGAATGTTTATATTTGATTAAACTTACAAAGAGCCTGGGCTCCTTCCTGAGCCACAGAGGTCATGGGTGGGGCACAGGCACAAGGCCAGGTGTATGTCACTTCACAAAGACATATATGTCTTCCGGTTTCTTCATCTCCTCCCTCTTGATTCCGAAACCGGGAAAACATGTCACAGAGCTGCAAACCAGACTATGTAACACCCACAGGCAGAACTGGTCATCAGTGCCCGTGGGGAGAATGTGCCCAGTGGGCCTTTGTGAACTTTCTGCAGTTAAATATGTAATTGTCACTTCTCAAAAGATGTCACATGCTGTCTGTGAGTGGGCAAGGACTTCCCCCTTCAGCTCCCACGCTAAGTCTGGTGGGCTGGGCCCAGACACTCCACACGGGCTGCATTTCTTGGGATGGAGGGAGGCATCTCATGCCTGGGCAGCAAGATGAGACTTCCCCAAACTACGGCACAGCGGTGGCTTTAGGAGTCTAGACAGGTAGGGGAGTGGGGTGGTGGGGTGGGAGACTGGAGGCGCTTTTAACCCAGGCCACACGGACTCGACAGGTGGCAGGGTGGGACCAAGGCCTGGTCATCTTAGCACGACCTGAAGAGAGGAATGCCGCTTGTTCTGCCTCCCAACCTTTCAGAGGGGGCATGCCAATGCTTGGGGTGGGGGGTGATGGCTGATCAGAGCGTAAGGGCCCCGGTGGCAGTGAAGAAGGTCGGTCCCTCACCTGTCATAAGCGTACTGGCCCAGTGCTGGCTCGTAAGGGTAGTAGGCAGCGGCAGCGGCGGCGGCGGCAGGCGCGAGGCCCGCATGCGCAGATCCTGGCGCGTCCTTGGAGTCGAAGCTGTTCTGTGGGAGCCCAGCAGCCTAGGGTCGCGGCTTCCGGGACACCACCCACTTGGAGCTCCTCCCCTAGGCCCCAGGCTCCTGCAAGCTTCGCTCCCTTCCCAGACTGTCCCTAGTGCCTAGGCAGCGAAGGAGCCCTAAGACTTGGAATGAGGAGACTACTGGAGGGTGTTGGGGGAACAGGGAATAGGTGCAGAGGAAGTGAAGATCGAAGGGTGAGACTGGAGGGAGGAAGGGGGAAGTGGGGGTGGGGATTGAGGGACAGCAGTGAAAAGGAGGGTGAGGAAGGTACAGGAAATAAAGAGGGGGAAAAGGGAGGAGAGCGATGGAAGAGCAAGGGGACTGGGAGAGGGGCCAGGGAAGGAGGGGGAAGGGAGGGTGAGTGTGTGTGTATGTTTGTGGGGGGCTTGGAGGACACGAGAGGTGATGCCAGGAGAAATGAATCGGATAAGGGAGCTGAGGAGGGGGAGGACCGCGGCAGAAGGGAGGAGGGGAGAGCCCGCTCGCACAGAACCAGAAATCTGATCAGAACTTAATAGTGACCCAAGAACCATCAGTACATTAAATACTGGGGCTTATATACCTGGTCGTCCCAACCTAGGGTGGAGTGAGCCCTGGTGATGTTCCCGGGGACCAGCCTTGGAGACGAAAAGTGAAGGAAGTTTCTCCCACCCCCTACTGTACCCGGTTCTGGGGCCTCTTGCCCCTTCCTCCGGAGTTGGGGAAAGTGAAGTTGGCAAATCAAATCGAGGGGTAGGGCGTGGCGTGGCGGGAAAGGTTGGAGATATACCCTCTCCACCCTTACCAGCGAGTAGAAGGCGGAGGCCTCGGAGCCGTAGGTCACATAGTTGCCATAACCTTGCGAGCCGCCATAGGGGCCCCCATACACGCCCAGCGCCGCGGCCGAGTTGAGCTCGTGGCGCGCGGTGGCCAGCAGCCGGCTCTCGTAGACCGGGCAGTAAACTGGAGCCTGGGCGGAGGCGGCGGTCCCAGAATCAGCCAGTGTGCGGCCACCTGATTCGCAGCACGTGCTCAGGGAGTTGGTGGTCATCAGGAACTGGGGGAGAGAGGAGCCGCGAGGAAGGGTGGGCCACCCGGAGCAAGGCTGGGGCCCCAGGTCTCCTCCGCCCTGCACCGCCCAGGAGGAAGCTCCCTACGTCCTCTGGGTCCACAGCGGTCCGTGCCAGACGGCGCACTCATTTTCACCGGGAGCCTGCGCACCCCAGTTCCCCTCCAGCCACGTGGGTCCCAGCCAATCCTGCCCAGGAGTATTCACGCTCTCCCTGAGGGGTTTCCAAGGCTGCGCACGCCCTCCTGTGCCAAGTCTCTACTGAGTGCCTTGGGTGCCCTGAGGTGCAGCCTCAGAGCGGGGGTGGGGGGTGAATATCAACGAAGTGGGAACTGGGGGCCCCAACCCTTGGCATTTCTCAGTACCCCTGTCTTCCCCAAGGCTGGGTACAAGGGGCACGTGGCACAGGCCCTACTCACTGGGAAACAACATCGGATCGCCAGACTGCCCGCCAGCCAGTGCGGAGCCTCCTTACCTGGGGTGCCGAAGAATAGGGGTATCCAAATTGCGGGTAGGACATGGCGAACGCGGCCCGGGGCCGGCCGGCCGGCCGGCGGGGTCCTGCTCGCGGGCGCCCGGCGTGGCGTAGCCACTGCTCAGGGGCCGCCGACTCCTAGGCGCTGGAGAGAGCGAAGCAGGAGAGCTGGTTAATTTATCCACACGCTCAGCAAACTTTTCTAACAGGGTCGGAGAGTGAGCCGCTGCGGCCGCCGCAATCCTTTTAGCTTCGCAAGCCAGAGCCTTGAGGGGGCTTTGGGACCGACCGGCCTCGCAGCGGCGACACAAATACATATTTTGCAAAAACGAAAAAAAAAAAAAAAGAAAAAAAAAAAAACCAGTCTCGCGAACCCGTCAAGTCAGATGTGCTCTGCTTTAAGCGGCGGAGGCTCTGACGTCAGCCCACGCCGTAGCCGGCCTGGCCGCAGACAAACCGGTCACTCGGCCGCGGCAGGGCCGGGCGGGGCACGCGGAGGGGCCAACACGCGTTAACAAATGAATTTCATCCGAGGAATCAAGATCACCTCGACGAACAGCGTTTCTCCTTAGTCACCGAGGACGGGAGGCACTTTTAATTAGAAATTAATTAATGAGCAGCTGCTCCTCCCCGCGCCACTGTAATCATTAGTCTCAATTACAAATGAGACGTATGAGGGACACACGAGTGAGTCTTCATGAAGATGTAATCAACAGTTAAAATTAGCCCTGATCCAACGCAGGCAGCCTCCGGGCCTCTCCAGGTGGACTGAGGTAGGCTCCGTGGGCCGGGCGTGCGGCGGCGGCGGCGGCGGCGGCGGCGCCGGCCCAAATATTGTTAATCAAGAGTGGGCCAAGCTTCCCACCAGTTCGAACCCTACTCCGGGATGGAGTTCCAGAACCAGATACAGCTATAACAGTGTCCGCATCTGGAGGTCAAAATGCCCTCAGGTGTGTGGGTCCTGGGGTCTTCCCCTGAGCCCGCCACTCCAGGGCTTGCCACTCTTGGCCGCTGTGTCCCCGGGGGACGCCCCCCACAACCTCCTCCTCCTGAGAGTTCCCGAAGGGCTCACAGCCCTCCTTTTCCTCCCTCTGCTCCTCCCGCGGGCCGCATTCCCTTAGCCACCCCCTGCCCCTCGCGGCTAAACCCGGGACTGCCAAAAGTCCGTCGCGCTCCAAAGAGTAGGTTTAGAGACTCAGCTTTGGGGCCCCTGCCGCTGCCTCCGCTCCTCCCGGTGACCTTCGGTGGTAGGCACGAGGGAGGGGCGCTGGGAGTCGGGCAGAGGCGCCCTTCCCAGCCTGTTTTGCATAGCTCTGTGCGCGGAGCGCGCTGACCGGTCTGGGGAGGAAGCCAAGTGCCCACTCAGGACTTCCACAGCCAGTCCAGGCCCCGGGACCTTGTCTGAGTCCAAAGCGGAGGCCAGCACGCAGGCGGCAAGGGGGCGTTCGGGCTACCCCGAACTAGCTCCCGCCTGGTGTGCCGCTACCCTCCGGGGCCAGGGCTCGCCCGGGTGCTCTCGCCTAGCTGGGCCTCCCGCGCTCAGGCCGGAGGGAGCCGCGCACGGCGGCGCTGTGCAGACTTGCTGGGAGAGATTCCTGGGTTCAGACCTGTGAATTGCCCCAGGGTCACCCTCTAATTAATGATGACGTTCTCACTCTCTCCCCAGCTGCAAGCCTGGCTCTCAGAAACGAAATCTGCCTGCTCTGACAGCTTGGTTGAAGGTGATTGATGACTATCTGGAGACCACAGTACTCATCATATAATATCTGCTGCGTAATTGCTTTAATTTACAGATGAAAATATGAGTTCTCCGATCGCGTTGGACCGCAGCCGGCCACGTCCGAGCTGCTTGCAAAGGAAAAACATCGGAAATAATGAATAGCCGCTCCATGCAAATTATTCAGACAGTTTAGCGTCTGTAGCCGGAAGAGATATATAAAGAACACGAATCAAATGACATTAATAATTGTTTTTTTTGAATTCTGTATTGATCTCGTGGCAGCCGTGTTTATTTCTTTCTCACCTGAATTGCTAATATCACCTTCCTGTAAATAATAAGAAACTAGCCACCGGGGCTTCTTGGCAGAAATGAATCTCTCAATCTCCCTGTCTTCCTCCTCCACTCCTCCCTTCCCCCATCGTCCCTCCTCCCAGCTCCTTCCAGTTTTCCGGCTTCTGCTCTGGCTTTTGCTGAACGTCTTCCTACTTTCCATTATTTATTGTTTACAAACAGCTCGCTCTCTCCTCGTAATGAGGCCCGGCCGAGGGAGGAGCACCAGGCGAGGGTGGCTGAGGGTTCAGGGTGCAGGAATCCCGATGCAAGGATGGCATTCAGCATCCGTTCCCCCCCATTCCCGTGGCCCCGCCTGGCGATTGTGAGCGCTCAGCGGGCTGGGGAGTAAGCCACCACGTCGTCCCAGCCGCCAGTGCCTGGGGACTCTGGCTGGCAGCCCCGCATATCCAGACCTAACAGCTCCAGGTCCTTCCTCAGACTCGGCCACAGCTCGCCGAAAACAGCACCCCTGAACGCAACCATTCCTCTCCATTCCTCTTCTGAACTATGTGCTCACTCTGAAAGCCGGCAGGCACAAGCCCTCCGTGGGGGGCTCTGAGGGAGAGCTTTCAGGGGCCTCCTTTGACTATCACTGCACTGTTGTTTTCCTTTCCAGGATGAGTGTGTAAATAGATGTTTCCAGCCCCACCGACCTGCCTGGTTCCACAGGCGACCACCTCCCCATCCTGAAACCCAGCTCACTGGCTCCACTTTCCCAGGCTGCTGAACACTGATCCTTCTATTCCTGCCCTGTTCAAGCCCAGCCAGTGTTTGGGAAGCTTGGGGCTGCTGGTGGCTCACCCAGGCCCCCAAAACCAATCCTGAGGCAGGGTCCGCATGCACCCTGGCATCCCGATGACAACCTACGTCCTGGATTAGGCCTCTCTGCCCAAACTGGGGTATTTCCTGGGTCATCTTTGTCCCATAGCTAATACTGGAATAACTATTAAGTGCCCCTCACTAAAGGCCAAGCCTTGAGATGGGGCACTCGGTTTTCCTCCAAGAGCAGACAGAACAGAAGCCTTAGAATCTCAGGCATCATCAGCTACATGCACCTCAGCACAGACGCAGAGTGCCGAGTCCATGTCCCTCGAGGGACCCCCGGTCCTAAGTACACCCTTGAGCAGAACCGCTGGAAACCTGCGGTTCCCCACGGCCAGGGCAGCAGTTCGGCTTGGGTGAGGTGCTCCCACTGGCCTGCGTATTCCAAAGGAACCAAGGACGAGCGGGGCTGAGGACTACCAGTCCCAAATGTTAAAGGCCTGCTGGTCGCTCTTGCCCTGGGTTGTTGCCTGCTGTCAGAACCTTGGAGGGCCTCTGGGGAGATAGGCCCCGCCCTGACCTTCTCCTGCTCCGGGTGGGACTTTCGCCCCTGCCGTCCGTCAACTGAGCCCAGGCACTCTCGGTTCCCTCAGTCGTTCCGGAGGCCACCCAGTCCCTTCCGCGCCGAAAGCAAGGGTGGGGTGGGGATGGCGGGGGCGCTAGTCCAGCGAAATTGACCCCCGGAAGAGGGCGGAGGTGGGAGCAAGCAGCTAGGCAAGGGCCTTCTTTTCTGAGGCTTAGGGCCCAGGCTTGGGGTGCTTGTGCCCGCCCACTGCTCTCGGACACCCGGGTGGGGTGAGGGGCTAAGAGGCGTTCTGGAGGTCGGTGGCGCCACACTCGCGAACCCTGAGGTTGGCAGGTCACTCCTTTGCAGCCAGTCCTCTGGGGTCTCCCGCACTGAATCCTCTTCCCCGAGTCGCCCTCCATGCCGGCTGACTCCCTCTGGCTCTCCTGCCGCACCCCAGCCGCGCGCCGCCCGAGCGGGGAAGGCGCACAGTCCGGGTGTCCAGGCACAGGCCCCGCTGGCCCCCGCTCCCCGCGCCGTCCCCCCGCACCCAGATTTTGCAACTTGCAGCGAACGCGGCGGCCTCCAGAGACCCCACCAGCAGGCAGCAAACTTTGTGCCCTCCAGCGCGGGAGCGATCCTCGCAAAGTTTGTGCGGCCGAGCCCACTCCCTACCTGCGCTGGGGACGCGCCCGCCCGCGCCGCTCAGGCGTTGGGCCCTCGGGGAGCAGCGCGCAGCCCGGGACGCACCGGGGAGTTCGCCACCGTCGCCGCTGCCCGCGCCCCTCGGCGGCCGCGCGGAGCCTCCGCCTCCCCGTTAGGGGGGAGGGGTCTCGGAGCCCCGAGGCGGGGGCGGGCGCGGGGACTTCGCCTACCTGCGGTGGCGCCGGACCACTACCGGCGGCCCGCGAGGGCTCTGCGCGGCCGCTCGGCGCGCGCGCTCCGGCGGGGAGCAGGCGACAACTAATGGAGACATTTCCAGGCGGAGCACCTGGCGAGCAGAGCGCGCCAGCGTCCCCAGGCGCCGCGGTCGTCAGCCGAGCCCGCACCGGCGTGACGTGGGCGAGCGAGAGAGCTGCTCCCACCCGGCCGCCCATTAACGCTTTCCCCCGCGGGCGCCGCGCACTTCCCAACTTTCCCCTCCACCAGGCCTGCGCTCTGGGTACTCGGGACGTAGGAGCTGGGTTGAGGGGTGCCCCGGGGAGTGGGGTGGCAGGGACACTGGGCTCAGGGCTCAGAGAGGACACCGAGCTTAACAACACAGCTGGAAGGCGCGCCGCCTTGATTTGGCCTAAGGCTCTGCCAGCTGTACTGCTCCAGGGGGCCTGGGCTCCTTAGGGACCCTTTGGAGGCCCTTCCTGGTGCCCTAGTTGTCAAGCCTGGGGCTGCCTGACTGAGGAGCCGCTCCCCCAGACAGCATTGTTCCTTCTTGGCCCCAGTTCCTCAGAGTCCCCTCTTGACTGTGGTATCCTGCCCCTGTGGTCAGGTTGATGGCTCAGGTGGCCTGCTTCTCCTCAGAATAGGTGAATAGGCTGGGTGTCTAGGTTCTCAAGCCCTTCCTTTTTTTTCCTGCCCCCCCCCCCCACACCCCCATCAACCTCACTGCATTAAGGGAGCCCAGCTTCTCTTGGTGGTGTTGGGGCAGCAGGCAGGGCAGTTCTGGAA